TATATCTTCATTATCAAAAGCATTTGTGCTTAGTCAATGCTGTTTCTCCTCAAGACAGTCGCCTGGCCTGCAGACAACCCTGTGGAGTTGGTAACAGGGAAAGAAATAAAAGAAATGCAGATGGCTGTAGCAGCCTAAGTCAAGAATGATCATGGATTGCAGTAACCCACCATCTACTGTTTGTTGTGTCTCTTCATCTGTACGGAAGGTCTAGGGGACAATGAGGTGTTCTCTTCAGCTTTGGCCCTTGAAACATTACCAGGGAGACTTTCCTGTAACAGGGCCTTAATAACTGCTTGCAGAACTAACAAGAAAAAAGGTCAAAACTGAAGAATAAAAGGGAAGAGAGAAAATAAGGAGCGTTACTCTACAGACAGGAAGTATTCAGCCAGACACTGGTGGCTCACACTTATCATCCTACCTATTCAGAAGGCCAAGATCTGAGGATCACAGTTTGAAGCCAGCCTGGGCAGAAAAGCCCATGAGACTCTTATGATCAATTAACCAGCAACAAAGACAGAAGTGGAGCTGTGGCTCAAATAGTAAAATGCCAGCTTTTAGCAAAAGAGCATAGGTCCTGAGTTCAAGCCTCAGTACTGGCACACACACACACACACACACACAAGTATTTAGAGTGCATTACAAAGTATTAAAGTATTATGCTTTTAATCTATCATTATGATTGTGTTCTTTTCCTGGCTTTCCTTCTCCAAAAAAAGATCCAAATCCTTCCGTGTGTGACTTCAGTGTGACATTAATTGCCCTTTTAGAGCTCTTCACACCAAGAAATGAAGTTGGATGAGAGACATTAATATCCACAAGAACCTTCCTTGTGATAGTCCTGGTTAGCCTCTCTCATTATTTTCTAGCCAAAGAGTACCAGTGTAGACTAGAAAGCAGGTACTGTGGTTTTCAATCTTCACCATCTTGGCGACTTTTCTTCTCACCTACAGGTGATATCAGGCCAGGCCTGCTATTTGGGAGGTGATTAGAAGGATTACAGTTCCAGGGAATCTAGGGGAAAGAGTTAACAAGACCCATCTCAACAAACAGCCAGGTATGGTAGGACAAGCTTGTCATCCTAGCTCTGTGAGAGGCAGAGGTGGAAGGATCATAATCCAAGGTCAGATCCAGGCAAAAGATGCAAGACCCAATCTGAAAAAATAACTATGGAAAAAAAAGAGTTGACAGTATATGTTGCTCAAGTGGAGTTGGAGTTCAAGTCCCAGTACTGCAGTAAAAAGGTTAGTGTTAAGGTTAGTGTTAGGTTAGGACTTGTTCCTAGATACAGCTTAAGTTCTAGCTCATTCCTAAATATCTACTCCATCCCAAATCTAGAACTCTCTACTAACCCATGGAGCTTGAACTTGAATTTCTTTTCTTTTCCTTCTTTCCTTCTTTCTTTCCTTCCTTCCTTCCTTCCTCCCTCCCTCTTCTTTGCTTTCTTTCTTTTTTTTCTTGCTGGTTAATTGTTGAAAAAGTCATGGAATTTTCTTCTTGGGCTAGCTTTGAATTACAATCATCAGAGCTCAGCCTTCTGAGTAGCTAGGATTACAAGCATTTGCCATGTCTGCCTGGCAATCCTTGTGGTGTTGTTGTTATTGTTATTGTTGCTGCTGCTGCTGTTGTTGTTGTCATTCTTCTTCTTCCTCTTCTTCTTCTTCCTCTTCTGCTTCATGTATTTTTTTCTTTTGTGTCAGTCATTGGGCTTGAACTCTGGGCCTGGGCACTGTCCCCGGGGCTCCTTTTTGCTCAAGGCTAGCCCTCTACCATTTGAGCCACAGCACTACTTCTGGCTTTTTCTGTGATTAATTGGAGATAAGAGTCTTGTGGACTTTCTTGCCCAGGCTGCCTTTGAACTGCGATCCTCAGAACTCAGCTTCCTGAGTAGCTAGGATGACAGGTATAAGCCCCTGGTGTCTGTCTGCTTTTGTTTTTGTTTTTTTCTAATTTTTATTATTTATTTTTTTGTTTATGTGGTACCAAGGGATTGAACCCAGGGCCTCATGCATGGTAGGCAAGCACTATACCACTGAGCCACCTTCCCAGCCCAGATCCTTGTGTTCTTTTGGGTTCCATATTTTCCTTCTTCCTTCTAAGCCTAGCTGGATTACAGAGTTTAACTTATTATTATGATTAAACATTCAACAACAAAATAATATTATATATGTCACATTAACTTAATGCACTCAATTTGCATTTTATTTGCTTTGCTTATATTTAATTTGTGAATGGATTTGGGTTTTACAGTTGCTTGTATAAGATAATATAAGTGTAAGCAGTTTGCACTGAATTTCTATTGTAAATATTTCTGTAACTTCATAGTAAATGTTGTCTCAGTCAATATTTTAGTCAGGCACTGGTGGCTCATGCTTATAATCCTAGCTACTCAAGAGGCTGAGATCTGAGGATTGGAGTTCAAATCTGGACTAAACAGAAAAGTCTGTGGGGCTGGGAAGGTGGCTCAGTGGTAGAACGCTTGCCTTGCATGCCTGAGGCCCTGGGTTCGATTCCTCAGCACCACATAAGCAAAAGTAAAAAGCCGGAAATGGCGCTGTGGCTCAAGTGGTAGAGCGCTAGCCTTGAGCTGAAGAGCTGAGGGACAGCGCCCAGGCCCAGAGTTCAGGCCCCATGACCAGACCCCCAAAAACAAAACAAACAAACAAAAAAAACCCAGAAAAGTCTGTAAGATTCTTATCACCAATTAACCACCAAAAAGCCAGAATTAGAGCTGTGATGCAAATGGTAAAGTGCCAGACTTGAGAGAAAAAGCCAAAAGCCAAATGAGAGTGAAAGGTCTTGAGTTCAAGCCCCAGTACTGACACACACGCACACACACACACACACACACACACACACACACACACACACACATACACATACACTCCTCAAACGTGAGAGACTTTGAAAATACAATTTTTTTTGAATGAGGGTGTTTTTAGAGAAATTTAAAAAATATGTTCACAAAATACTCATACACAAATATTTATAGCAATCTTATTTTAATAGCTCTCAACTGGAAATGGTCCAAGTTTCCATCAACAAAATAAATGGAAAACATATTGTGGTGGAATATTAATCAATGTAAAATGCAACTAATTATTGATATAGAGTGCTGAGAAGCATTTGGTCATAATTGGTAAACCCATACCCATCTTTATCAGATACTGCAAGCAAGGAATGGAAGGGTGGGAGGTGGGGAAGAAGCGGCTGAATTAGCATTGTCAGCGGAGTGCTGGGGCTCATGTCTATCCTAGCTACTCAGGAGGCTGAGATTTGAAGAGCTTTGTTCAAAGCAGGAAGGTCCATGAGACACTTTCTTGGGGGGTTAGTCATAGGGCTTGAACTCAGGGCCTGAGCGCTGTCCCTCAGCTCTTCAGCTCAAGCGCGCATTCTACCACTTGAGCCACAGTACCACTTGCAGTTTTCTGGTGGTTAATTGAAGATAAGAATCTCACAGACTTTCCTACCTGGGCTGACTTTGAACCTGGATCCTCAGATCTTAGCTTCCTGAGTGTAAGGTCTGCTCCTGGATGGCCAGCAGACTCCACCTCACAGCAAAGTCTCCACCCAGTACCTGCGTTACCTAGGCAACTGGCATACCTGGAAGAGGTCACATCTGCATCCGCTGAGGTCACATCTGAATTTGATGTGGCCACACCTTTCTCTGCCCATACCCTAGATAAGGCCTAGCCCAGGCCCAGAGGCCTTTCTCACTGCTCTATTCTAGCTCTCTCTGCTCTCTTAGCTTTTTTCCCCAGCTCTCTCTCTTTCTTTCTCTCTTTCCCAGCTCTCTCTCTTTCCCAGGCCTTTCCCAGTCATGTGGAGTGCCAACCTTGCCTGGTCCCAGCAGGTCTACTGAATAAACCTACCCCTTACCTGAATACCACGTGCGTGCTGCTGTTCTTACTCGGCTACCTCTCTCTGCTCTTGTCTAGCTCTTCTCAAACTCTTTTCTGTCTCTTTCCTCTCTCTCTTTCCAGCTCTCTCTCATTCCTAAGCCTTTCCCAGCCACATGGAGTGCCAACCTTGCCTGGTCCCAGCAGGTCTACTGAATAAACCTACTCCTTACATGAATACCACGTGCTGGTGCTGTTCTTACTCGGATACCTCTTTTTAAAAACCTAACACTGAGTAGCTAGGATTACAGGCGTGAACTACCGGCTTCCAGTTCCAGGAGGCTTTTCTCAAATTAACTCTCAAAAAGCCAGAAGTGGAACTATGACTCAAATGGTAGAGTGCTTGCCTTGACTAAAAAAGTTCAAGGACAGTACCCAGGCCCTGAGTTCAAGCCCCAGGACACCCTCTCTCTCAATCTCTCTCTCTCTCTCTCTCACACACACACACACACACATGCACACACACATGCACGCACACACAGAGAAATAAAAACATATATTTTCCCTCTCCTTTTCCTCTTCTTCCTTCTCCCTCTTCCTCCTCCTCCTCTTTCTCTTCTTCCTTCTTTTTTTATGTCAGTACTGGGGCTTGAACTCAGGGCCTCATGCTTTTGCTCACTCCAGGCTGGTGCTCTACCACTTAAGCAACACCTTCACTCTTGGCTTTTTGCTGGCTAATTGGCAATAAGAGTCTCCTGGAGTTTTCTGCTCAAGCTGGCTTTGTTGAACGAGGATTATAGGAGCCACCAGCATGCCCACTGACAATTTCTGCTTTATTCCTCCCCTTCTCATAGCTCAGGTGTGACTCTACAGCGGAAGCCTTCTAGAAAGGGGTCTCTTTGGGCTTTGTGCTCCTGTGCTTGTGGGGAGAAGGGAGACCAACTGAGCTGCTGCTGAGACCCGGTGGATGTTAGCTAAGCATCTTTTGACCTGTGGAATGAAAGAGGTGTCTGTGAAAAAGGAGGTGAGAGAGCAGTTCTTGGAAGGATCCATTTTGGGGAAGCTGTGGGCAGGAATGTAGCCTTCTTATTAGCGCACATCCCTCAGTGATTTCATGAGCACTTACTATATCCAGAGGGAACTCCATGGTCTGGACATCGGTTATTGCCAGGGGACGCACGCACACTCTCCAGCAAGCTTCCTCAAGGCGCCCTTGACCTCCTTGTTCCTCAGGCTGTAGATGACAGGGTTCAACATGGGGGTGACCACGCAGAAGAGCACAGAGACCAGGATGTCCACGTCCAGCGAGTAGCCCTCTCTGGGCCTGTCATAATTGAAGTTGGCCATTCCGTAGAAGACCACCACCACGGTGAGGTGGGAGGCGCAGGTGGAGAAGGCCTTGCTCCTGCCCTGGGCGGAGGGCATCTTGAGGATGGCGGACAGGATGAGCAGGTAGGAGGCTGCGGTGAAGAGGCAGGGGCTGAGGCCGATGGTAGCGCTGGCCGCGTGGAGCACGGATTCATTCACCGTGGGGTCGGAGCAGGACAGCTTCAGGAGCAGCGGGACGTCACAGAGGAAGTGGCTGATGTGGTTGGGGCCGCACAGAGTGAGCGTGGAGGTCAGCGCCGTGTGCGTGGCCGAGTTCACCAGCCCACATAGCCATGACCCAGCCACCAAGCCCACACACACGTGCGCACGCATGAGCGTTGGGTACTGGAGAGGGTGGCAGATGGCCACGCAGCGATCATAGGCCATGGCGGCCAGTAAGACGCACTCCGTGCCAGCACAGGCCACGAAGAAAAAGATCTGGGTGAGGCAGCCCTCGTAGGAGATGGTTTTCTCCTGTCGGAAGAAGTTTACCAGCGTTCCGGGCATGGTGGTGGACGTGTAGCAGAGGTCCAGAAAACTCAGGTGGCTGAGGAAGAAGTACATGGGGGTGTGGAGCGCGGGGCTGGCTTGGATGGCCAGGATGATGAGCGTGTTCCCCAGCACGGCTGTCAGGTAAAGGGTCAGGAAGACCAGGAAGAACAAGCCCTGGAGGTTGGGGTGGTTGGAAAATGCCAGGAAGATGAATTCCCTGACATGTGTCTGATTGCTCATGTCAAATGGCGGCCCAGCTACGAAACAGAGCACAAAGAAAGCCCATGGCAAGGATTGACTCGTAGCTAGGCAGAGAACCCACCATGCCATCTGGGTAGTGCTGACCTCAGGAGTTAGCTCAGCTGAGGGGCTTGGCACCCATTTGCATGGCTGATGGTGGGCTTATAAGGGTGAATAGATCTGCTGAAGGCCAACAGCCCAGTCCCCTTACGATGGTAACAACTCATTTCTCCAGCCTGACTCAGAAATATCCCTTCATCCCCCAGCTTTGTTCCTTTTAGCAACATTTACATTTTCCTAAGACATACTTTTTCATTGCAACAAGTCAACCGCATGAAGGAAGTTACAGGAAAGAGTTTAATCCTGTGATCCCTTTCCATGTGTTCCCTTGTAGCTTTTTATATTTTACAGAGATCTGCACCTCTATTTGTAACATAGAAGTATTAGGAGCAGTCAGGCACTGGTGGTTCACACCTGTAATCCTAGCAACTCAGGAGGCTGAGATCTAAGTGTCATGGTTTGAAGCCAGCTCAGGCAGGAAATTCTGGGAGTCTTATCTCCAATGAACCACCAAAAAGCTGGAAGTGGATCTGTGGTTCAAGTGGTAGAACACCAGCCTTCAGAGTAAAGGCAGAGAGAGAGAGAGAGAGAGAGAGAGAGAGAGAGAGTTTGGGCAGGTAATGTGAGAGAACGCTGTCTCATAGACAGGAAGATGAGCAGTTCAATGGAGGCACTGTGGGTGGCAGGAATCTCAGGTAAAATGGACAGCTTGAGTCTGTCTAATCCAAAGCAAGCAAATCAGGTACAAGATGTGGCCCACAGGTATCTAGAGGGTCAGAGGTCTCTGAGGCTCCAAGGAACAGCTCTGTGGCTGTGCGCTGTTAGAGGCAGGGACGGCCTGGGTTCTGAGGTTTGCAGGGAGCTGCGTCAGTCCACACGGGGCCAGCACCTCCAGTTCCCACAGATCCCTGTGCCGTGCGGACAGCTGGGAGGGCCACACTAGCTAGACTCCAGGACTAAGTGGTAAAACGATGCTTTCCACCTTCAGCACAACCTCGTTAGCTACCTCAGAGGACATGGTAATCAGCCGGTGGATTTTAGGAAGGAGGCCTGTGTCTGACCCGCCCTCCGCACACAGCGTGACCAATAGAAACAAACGCCTCATAGTCCTTCACCAGGAAGCTCAGGCAATGTCCCTCCTCTCCTTCCAGGGCAACAGGAAGTGGCCATGTTTGCCTCCCCAGACCCAGGTTGTGGACAGGAAGACATGGCTGCAGAAGAGGGGTACAGTTTTGGCGAGACAACCTAGCAGAAGGTGACCTCAGGAGAGAAACGACCTGACTTGTTGAAACTGATAGAAATCTATAAATTAAAAAAAATAATCGATGCACAAAATCTTCCATGCGCTGCAGTTCCAAAAGGATCAAATGATTATGAGAGCCATCCCTACATGTACTGGCCCTGCTGCAGGCCTTGCTTCATGGTAAAGCGGCATTCTAGTTGGACTGGGAACCCGTGTCTCCTCTCAGAAATTCCGTGTGCATGTTTGATGTAATATGCACAAATGATTTTTTCATTTTCTGTATGAACTGGGTGGATGGATTTAAGTTTATAAAAAAAACAATGGTACATACCTTCTCACCACTCACGATGTTGGAAAGGTAGATTATAATTCCCCTCATGAATAGACGTCTAGGTTTGTTCACAGGATGTAATGGAATTCCATCTGTGTGTAATTAAAATTTTATGGTACTAAATTTTAACAGTGATTTTGCAATGTTTCAGGATCTTTAAAAATTCTGGTTTCTTAGCTGGGCACCAGTGGCTCATGCCTGTAATCCCAGCTACCCAGAAAGCTGAGATTTTAGGATCATGGTTAGAAGCCAGCCTGGGCAAAAAGTCCCCATGAGATGCTTATTTCTAATTAACCACCAGAAAAACAGAAGCGGAGCTGTGGCTCAAAGTGGTAGAGTGCTAGTATTGAGCAAAAAGAGCTCAGAGACAGTGCCCCTGCCCTGAGTCCAAGCCCCACAACTAACAACAACAACAAAAACCCCACAAAAATACACACAAAAACCCCCAACAAATAATGGCTTCTGAATTTGCACACATTGTTTATTTCCGATATCTTACAATATGACTTGAGTCATACTTCAAATCATATTTTAATGACTTGAATGTCAGTCCATAAGATATACATAGGGCATTATATCTATCTGTCTATCTTATCTACCATTTTTGTGTGTTGTATGTGAGTGTGTGTGTGTGTGCACAGTAGAATCAGAAGTATGTTTTTCTTGGTCTGACCTTGTGGACGCTGAGACACTGAGGAGTGAGATGCCTTTCTTTTTGCATATTCCTCATGCCCTGTTTGTACAGAGCAATGGTTGGGAAGCTCACAAGCCATCCTCAACTAGCTCCACTCATACACAGCTGTGCACGGACACTGACCTGTGTTAATTACATCTGACATCCAGCTCAACCTCTCTGCCAATGGAAATGGCTCCTATCCCTGGCTAAGGATAGATTTCATAGGAAGCACAAGTTGAGACTGAGTTTCTGAGGCATAGCTTGATAAAAGCTAGGTTGTTCTTTAAATAGGAAAGTCGGTTTACTACAAATCATCTGGCCCCAAACACAAGACAAAACTCAATGAGTGGGCTGGGAAGTTGGCTCAGTGGTAGAGCGCTTGCCTTGCATGCCTGAGGCCCTGGGTTCGATTCCTCAGCACCACATAAGCAAAAAGAAAAAAGCCGGAAGTGGCGCTGTGGCTCAAGTGGTAGAGCACTAGCCTTGAGCTGAATCGCTGAGGGACAGTGCCCAAGCCCAGAGTTCAGGCCCCACGACCGGGCCCCCCCCCAAAAAAAAACTCAACACAAAAAAACAACACACATCTTTACATATAAGAATCTTCTAGCTGGTCCCTGGTGGATCACGCCTGTAATCCTAGCTACTCAGGAGCCTGAGATCTGAGGATCGTGGTTCAAAGCCAGCCCTGGCAGGAAAGACCAGGAGACTCCTATCCCCAATAAACCATTAGAAAACCAGAAGTGGTGCTGTAGCTCAAGTGGTAGAGTGCTCACCTTGAGCTGAAGAGCTGAGAGACAGTACCCAGGCCCAGAATTCAAGCCCACAACCAAACCAAACCAAACCAAAGAATCTTCTAAGCCTGGTACCAATGGCTCATGCCTGTAACCCTAGCTACTCAGGAGGCTGAGATCTAGGGATAGTAGTTAGAAGCCAGCCTGAGCGGGAGACTTTTATCTCCAATTAAATACCAAAAAACCCCACAAACAAACAAAACAAAAACAAACAAACAAAAAACCAAACAAACAGCTGACGCTGTGGCTAAAAGTAGGAAAGTTCCAGCCTAGGGCAAAAAAGCTTAGGGATAGCACCCAGACCCTTAGTTCAAGCCCTATGATGGAAAAAGAAAAAAAAAATCTTCCAAACTAAGTAATGGAGATACAAATTAGATAACTAATAGCTATCACCTATGACATAGTTTGCTAATTAACCTTTAGGGTTTTTTTCTCCCCATAATGGAAATAAAATGGACATAAGATAAATAAGGTAATTAGTGGAACTGTGAAAACTCTTGGAGCAGATGAAGAAAATAGCACAGGTATTCTATTTAATGCCAATAGCAATAATTAAATATTTAACATTTAATTTTCATGTTACCTGCTTACTTAAAACACACACACATAAGTACATGCACACACATGTGTACACACCCATACACATACACACATATACAGATTAATAACACCATTCAGGGATTTTTCTAAAAGAAAGTCAGACCGGGCGCCGGTGGCTCACACCTGTAATCCTAGCTGCTCAGGAGGCTGAAATCTGAGACTTGTGGTTCAAAGCCAGCCTGGGTAGACAAATCAGTTTTTTACAAATAAACTACTTACCTCTGGCTGTCACGGAGAGTCTCGGGCATCTGGTTTGGGCACAGGCCTTGTTGGCCTCCACACCAGCCAAGCAACTGAGCTCTGAAAACTGAGCACAACTGAAACTCGGCGCATCATGATGAAGCCTGGCTGTCCCAGCACTGCCTAGTGCATATTTATCACGTGATGTAGGAGTCAAAAATCCTCTTTGATTTCTCCACAATTTACTTTCCTAGGCCAGCCATTTATAAAGGCCTGTGGGCTGACCTTTGGGGAGAACCCATCTCATCTCTCTGAGCAGCGGTTGTGAGACTCCTCAGAGAGCAAACACCACGCAAGGACAACAGCCTGAACTATAGCAATGAAGAACCACGAATCCTCTCTTGGGTTCATTAAAGTTGTGGCAATCATCCATGTTTTTTTTTAAAATTTTTTTATTGTAAAGATACAGAGGGTTACAGTTACATGAGCAAGGCAGTGAGTACACTTCCTATTGAGCATTGTTACCCCCTCCATTGTTTTCCCCCTACCATCCCTTCTCTCCCTACCTTCCCCGAGCTTCTTTTTTTTTTTAAATTGTGATTAAGTGATTACATAATTTCCCAAATTTCACAGTATTGTGGAATAATGATGCTCATTTAAAGTCACAAGTTCATTGTAACTTTCCTGGAGCAAATTGTCTATCACAGTCTATAACATATAACGGTGTACACATATACACCATACATGTGATCAGCAGCGTGGGGATATTTAGTAGTGGTTCGACCAGATGAGTGGGAGTTCTTTGTTTCTTAAGTCCTGTTAGTTTTGTCGTATCACCTAACATTTTGGATTTAGCATCCACTTATCAGGGAGACCATGTACTGTTTGTCTCTTTGCTCTTGGCTTACCTTGCTCAACATGATTCCTTCTAGCTCCATCCATTTCCCTGCAAATGCCATTATTTTGTCATTTCTAATGGCTGCATAATATTCCATTGTGGATAGATACCACAATTTTTGGATCCATTCATCTGTGGTGGGGCATCTGGGTTGTTTCCATATCCTAGCTATTGTGAACAGTGCTGCAATAAACATGGAGGTGCACGTGTCCTTGTATATT